TAAATCCATAATAAATATGGAAAATATATTTTAAGGGTACTATCACAAAGGATTTTCAATATTGAAAAATGGGTGTGGTTTGTATAGAACCCATGCTCTAAACAATCAATTTAGAGCCTACTTTCAAAATAGTGTCGAGCAATGTAGTTTCAATATTGAAAATCTTTGTGATAGCCTTAAAATATATTTTCATATTTATTTATAAAGTTTAAAGCTTCAAAAGTAGTGTAGAGCGACATATCTACGAAAACTTGAAAATCTTAAAAATTGACGGTTTAAAAATGCGTTATAAAATACACTATTTTCAAAACTTGCAATTGAATTTTTTCTCATGTCCAAACATCTTGAAGTCGAGATAATCAATTTAAAGATATTTGGTCATCAAAATAACCTCTTCTAGTGAACTTTTTGATGTAGGCTCAAATTTGATTGTTAAGAGCCTCGGCTCTATATAAACTTTTCCTTTAAATAATACATGTATAGTATATTTAAATATATTTATATATTTTTCGGTCGGGTCCAATCAGGGCAGGGTTAGGCCGGACCCGACCCGTACCCACCCCTAGTATCCTACTGAAAATAAAATATTTGCACAACTTTATGCAAACCGTCCTAGTTCTTATTTATTTAATCATTTATTGGTGCATAAAGACCTGCTTAATATTTTTATATGAAATCTCAACAACACCTTAGAATCATCAAATGAGTATGTAAGAAAAAATATAGGTTTTGAATTTCTAAATACTTTTATCCAGTGTTCGCAAAATCAAACTGGAACGGTTAACCGGAACTGGACTAACCGGTCAAGTAGATTTTTAAAAAAAAAAGAAAGGTAAAATATCCTCAAATTATTTTAAAAAATAAAAAAATCGAAAAACTTAGATTGAGTCATATAAAAGTCATTTTTCTTTTTTCTTTTCATCTTCTAGACTGAGCATTTATTGATCCTTTGGATCAAGTTGCTTCGTAAGGTGCAGAAAATTCATTGCTACAATAGAGCAACAGAAAATTCTTGCAAATTCACAAGAGTTCTATAGTAATTCTATAGATTCTCACTGAATATCAATCAGTAGTGTTGCAATAAATATATCGGTACGTATAAAGTCTAGGCTAATAAAATGTTAGATAACAAGGTCGTAACTGTTCTAAGGTCCAAACTAGATGTGGCAATGTACTCACGCCAAGGATACGATTTGAAAGAAAAAATGTAGCAAAGAATGGAGTATTATTATTTCCTATCAAACGCCCAAAAAATTCATTGTTTTATACAGGAAACTTAACCATGAATGTTTTTAATACTATTTAGTCAATACCAACTCATCCCACATTTCCACAATGAAGAAGAAAGTAGAACAAGAAAATACTTTTATAAAAAAAATATATAACAGTACAAGCAATCCAACAAGCTCACCAAAAATATATATAACATTAAAAATAAATGAATATATTTTTTTGCATATTCATCCCAAAAAAAAACATATTTGTGTAAAAAAAAAATATAACATTAAAAACAATCCAACAAGCTCACCAAAAATATAAAATTGAAAAAAAAAAAAAGAATTGATTTTTTTCTCATATTCATCACAAATAACATATTTTTATTAAAAAAACGTAATTTTATTAAGAAACAATTTTTTTTTTTAAGAACCCTAAAATTGAGCCAAAGAACACAGATTCTTTAGAGTCAAAATTAGCCCCAAATCATTCATTTTGTGAACAAATTGTCGTGGGGATATGATAGATACTTCAATCACAATTAAAATGCCCCAAATATCATGAAGATCAATTCACTATTGAGATCGTTCTTCAAAAAATGGTGGATATTTCATTTCACATAATTGTCAACTAAAAAATGCATCAAAAAAATCCATATAAATAACTGTACTCAATGATAAATTAACATACCTAAAGCATTCGACTTATAAAGCCTTGAGGATCAAAATTAACTGATCAATTCAATAAAAAACGATCAATACGTCAATAAAAAATCAATTTGTTTTTCATCAGATATAGTTCTTCGAGCAGCAACATTTTTGGCCAAAATCATCCTCCAAAATTCATTGTTTTCGACACATAAAAATAGGAAAAAGTTTAAGGCTTCAGTAATGAATCAAAGCCCTACCTTTCCATGCATATTCATGGGGTATTGAAGCTCAGATTGACAAAATGGCGGAAATTTATCAGTTTCAAAAATCCGCCATTTCAATCCACTAAAAAATCGTTCTTCATCGATATTTTATTCAATAAACAGTTATTTATAGGAAATTTCAATTGCATAATTGTAATAATTCACCAAAAAAATAAAAAATGGCCAGAAAATTGAATAAAAAAAGGGTTGCAAAACAAGAATCACATGCTATATTTTAAATAATAGCCTATGTGTCAAATAACGGTCGCTATTTAATAGGATACCATTATGACGGTTATATCGCTATTATAATAGTAAACCGGACCGGTTAGAGGAAACCGACCAGTTTTAACTTAAAACCGTTGGTTCATCGTCGAACCGGCCGTTTTTGACTTAAAACCGTCAGTTCATCGTCGAACCGGCCGGTTTTGGTAGTCATTTTTTTTAGAGATTCTCGACTTTTTATTAGTACCATAAAACTGGCCTTAACCAGAATCGGTACCTATCTAACTGGCCGGTTCCAGTTCGGACCGGCCGGTTTGGCGAACACTGCTTTTATCTAATCATCAAAACATTATAAAGTCTGTGTTTAATTTTAGGACCTCATTTTTTAACGGCAAATTTAGAGTGTATGTCATTTTTTTTCTTTCTTTTTTTAAGTTAGGTCAATAAGTTGAAGGGGTTACATACATACATCCCAAAATTATGGGCCCTAGATCACCTAATAATATAAGGAAAATTGTTTCATGCGGGCTGGACCGCCTTTCTAAATATGCGGTCCAGAAAGTGTAAAGCATCCATATGAAAGATGAATGCAAGTAGGTGTTCTATCTAATAACAATGGAAACTACCGTTCCAAATGTTTTCTTACTAGAATTGTTATTTCTAGTTTTAAAAATTGATTTATTTTTTCATGTTCATGATCTCCATGTTAGAGATTACATATCCTTAAAAATTAAGTCCTAAAATCTATATCAAAAATAGATTTATTAAGAGGCTCACATTTCTACATATGCGGGCTAGGCCGTATAGAAACCGGGTCCAAAATATGTATATATTTCTTCAAGAAAAGCAAATGTCTTACACTATGTCATGGTCGCCCATAATTGAGGCATAGAGTAGATGGTTCCACACATCAGGCAAACCAGGAAGGCACCAATGACTACAATCAACCATGCTATAATCCCCACTCATGAGCCTTGCTCCATTGCCATTGCGATTGTTGAACATTGTAGTGTGAGCATCTTTCCTGTACAAAGACATCCATGTTATGTTCAGTAGCTTCACAGGCAACCCCATGTCTTCAATCACATGTGCCACCTTCTCAACTCTCCTCAACTCCATCTCCACTAATGACTCCTTCCCCATAATTGACTTCTCCTCTATGACCTCTGTTTCGTTGAAGCATGCCCCTTTTGTGGTCTTCTCCCAAAGTTGATGTCTGAAGAGAACCAAAAAAAAACAAAAAATTTAAAGAAAAAGAAAAACATCTTTGTGGCATAGTTAGGGATGAGAATTTAAACCTGAATTTCAGATCATTTGGATCCTGATATAGCTCGATTCGATATGGATCTGAATTCGATACGGATTATTCAAATATTATATATTATTATATATAGGGTGCGATTTGTATAGAGCCGAGGCTCCAAACAATCAAAGTAAAACACACCTTCGAGAAATGTAGTTTTAATAATGAAAATCTTTGTGATAGCCTTAAAATATTTTTTCATCTTTAATTATAAAATTTAAAGCTTCAAAAATAGTGTAGATCGAGCATATCTATAAAAACATAGAAATGTGGTTTTAATAATGAAAATCTTCGAGATAGCCTTAAACTATATTTTCATTTTTAATTTAAAGCCTCAAAAATAGTGTAGATCGAGCAGATCTATGAAAACATGAAAATTGACTGTCCAAAAATACGTTACAAGGTGCACTATTTCTAAAACTTGAAATCCATTTTTTTTCATGTCCATGCATCTTGATGTCGAGATGAGCAATTTGAGAATATTTGGGCATCAAAACAACCTCTTCTAGTGAAATTTTTGAGGTGGGCTCTAATTTGATTGTTTAGAGCTTCACCTCTATGTAAACTTTTTCCTTTTATATATATATATATATATATATATATTATAGTATTTTTGTTATATATTATTATATAGATATAAAATAATTTTTTGGATCCTATCGGATCAGGATCCTGATCCAATATATACTCTTCATATCCGAATATGGATCCAAATATTCTGGATCCAACCAGATTAAGATCGAAATCCAGGTGGATGCGGACCCGATCCAACCCATTCTGATCCCGAGGCATACCATGGCACGGGTTTAGGTGCACATGTTACAGTGACTCCATCCTCTTGAACTATTCTTGGAGATGGATTCGCGATCCAATGTTTTGTAGGTGCATCATCTGGACCACTACTATCACCATTTAAAAACATAATAATAATAATTTTGAGCCCAAAATATGGTCTATTTTGTACGTTTTGTTTTAGGCCTTTTCATTTTAATTCTTTGAAGATCACCAGATTTACATTACTTTAAAGCTTGAAACTCATGTATCTGATGAGAAATGGGTTTACGCTGATTTAGGATATTTTTAGGGTTCCTAAATTCTTCAAAAATCAAGATGAATGCATGAGTTGGCTAGACCATTACTTTAATAAACGGAAAATTTATACTGTCAAAAAAAAAGGAAAATTTATGAAAATATTCATAAGATATGAAGTAACATTTTACCTAGCTGCTACTGTTCCATCACAAGACCTTGCATTTTTTTTTGTCGATATTTTGAAATTAAATAAAAATATATAGGTAAAATGTTTAATTTTTAACTCTACCGGATAATTTCATAAATTTCCTTTATTAAAATAATGCTTTTGGGACATTCCATGCCATTCTCATTTTGGCTAAGCATGAGTTGTTAATCTTTCAGGAAAGCATACAATGTAGTCACCTCTAGTCGTCAGATATGAAATCGGGCCATGGCAAATGTGCCATTGACAATCCGAAAAAATTTATCTCAGATTTTGTGTGAAAAAATGACACTTCGTCAGCCATCCAATTTCACATCTGATTGCAACAGATTGTGACTTTCTTGTATCATAAGAAATCCATCTCAAAGCATACAATCCCATTCATAGAAAACAATAGCAATTATAAGCCACTGCTAATTCTTTCATGGCCCATATCCCACTGGGGATAATGATGCTCATACAATTAGTACTTCCCTTAGCTATTAATTTCTTATTCCATTTAGTAATTTACCAAATGATGGAAAATACCCCAACCCAATAATATTTCTTTTTTTAACTTAAAAAGAGAGGTGCATTTATTTTTGGGAGATACATGTGAAATTCACACTAAAACACTACTAGGTCATAAAAGTGACATATATAGAGGCCTAGGACAATTTTGTCCTTAAGATCTCATAATCGACGGTTATTATTGCCGTACAGCTGGAGTAACAGTTCAAAATCAATCCATAGTTTCCATAGTTGTATGGATGGTTAGCTTTCAATAAAATCAATCTCCAAATTTGCCATTTCATTGATTTCTCATTAAAATTTTGACCTACTTATTGCCTGTTTTAAAAAAAACATTAATTTGATGCACATAACACCAAAGTAGCTCAAAACTTTATGTTTCATGCAACACAATTTTTGGATTTTTTTTTTTTCTTTATTATATGGTCAAATTCCAATTTGTACCTAAAATAGATCCATTTTGGGTTCAAAAAAAGCCCATTCCAAATCAGGTTTTCTAAAAAACGTGGGTTATGAACCAAACCCTAGGCTTCGAATGAAACCCAAATTTTTTGCTATCCGGAATCAAACTACCTTAATAGTGAGAGACGAAAGTTATGTGTTAAAGTTGACAATCGCCGATCCTAATAGTCGGATCGCTAATTGGTGCCTTCACCACTCCAATCTAAAGGAACATTTGGGTTTGGTAAAAAACTAGTCAAAACTAATATTTGATTAGTTTTGGCTTGTAATTTTAAGTTTTTAATTGATCAGACCGGTTAAATAAAAATGGGAATTTTTTTTAATATATTTTATATTTTAGACTAATTCATATTTTTATTTTATTTTATAAAAATTAAGTACAACCGATTTGACCAACAATTGCACTAATTTGAATAAACCAAACCCTCACCCTTCGATAACCGGTCGGAACGTAATAACATTGTTGTGTGTTACTTGATTTTATCTTTTTTCACTATTTATTATAAATTCATAATGGCATTTTCTCAATTTTAACAAGCACAAATTTCTAACTTTAAGAAAGAAACAAATCACTATTTATTATAAATTCATAATGGCATTTTCTCAATTTTAACAAGCACAAATTTCTAAGTTTAAGAAAGAAACAAATCCATCACATGTAGACCCACTTTCATTTGAATTTTAAAATTTTGGTACTTTGAATGGGGATAGGAACTCTTTAAAATTTGAATGACATGCACTTTTCAATTGGGAACTGATTTTTTTTTTAGTGTGTGGTAAAATTTTTCAAAATCCAAAAAAATAAACCAAAAAAGAATTATTATAAATAAATAAATAAAAGAAGAAAAAAAATTCACCTACCTGTAATGGGTAGGGGAATAGGTGAGGAAAAAGACCAGGGTTTTGGTGGGGTCCACATTTTCCAAAACCCATCTTCCCCATGTTCTCAGCCCTCTCTCGTAAGCCTCCCAATCTTTCATCATTGGAATAAAACTCCCGTTTTCTCTATAATAATTATCACTGAAAAACCCAAAAAATGGACATAAATAGTAAATAAATCATCAATTTTATGACAACGCTTGTGACTATTATATGTATCGATATGAACAAGTTTATCGAAACTCAATAGTATGGTATAAATGTCTTTTTTTGCTTTTTTGAATTTTGTCTAAATAGGCAGGAAATACAGCCCAAAAAATAAAAAATACATATAATTTATGCTTTCTTAATAAAACTCAATTTTTCAAGTGAATTTTTGAGAAAAAAAAAAGGACAAAAAGGCAAGTCAGGCATCATATGTAACAAGCCACACAGTTTTCACATACCGAATCCTATAATTATGTTAAAAAAATTTGGGTTTAGTGGTAGGAATCGAATTTGAGATGTAGTAATATGGAATATGCAAGAATTGGGAGGAAAAATAATTGGTGTGAAATAAAAAAAAAAAAACTATTCTCATGAGTTTGTTGTCTCTTTGATTAGTTCACAGATTTGTTTTTATCTCAACCATCAATTTCCGGACGAAATTGGTAAATTGAAAAGGTATCAAATTTTAAACTTAAATTTAAGTGAAGTGTCTCCAAAAAAAAAAAAAACACATTTAATGTGACCCACACAACTAGAGAGAGAAATTCCATGTTTCAAAAGACATCATTAGGAATTTTTAGGGCATGCATATTGTCAAAATTTTAAAGCGATCCAGTGAAAATTTTAGGCAACTTTAATTAACTAAATCCAGCAAAAAAAAAAATGAAAATTAAATATTCTCTATTTTATTTGTAAATTAGAGAAGGCGTATAAGGCTATAGCCCTAAATAATCAAACCAAGTCGCACCTACAAATAGTATCGAAAGATGTTGTTTCAGTATTAAAAATCTTTGTGATGTCGTGAAAAATTATTTTCATCACTAATTATAAATTTTAAAGCTTTAAAAATAGTACAGATTGAACAGATCTTTGAACACTTGAAAATATTGAAAAGATGCAATATTTTCAAGATTTGAAATTCATTTTTCTCATGTCCATGCATCTTGAGGACGAGATGACCAAATCGAGGATGTTTGGGCATCAAAAAAATCTCTTACAGTAAAATTTTTGAAGTGCGCATTAATTTGATTGTTTAGGGCCTCCCCCTCATATAAAATTTTTCAAAAATAAAAGCTTTTGTATTTTATTTGTAAATCAGATAATGGATAAGCCAGTTTTTTCGCTTAAGAAAAATTACGAAGCCCTTTGAGTCCTTCAATTTAAGTTCCCATATAGTACATAATTATTATTTCGAAATATCCTATGTACTTTATAGGTTCCCATGATTAATATCTTTGGAGTATAAAATAATTTTGAAATAATGTTAAATGGTAAAGAATGTTTTGGGGAAGTGTTACATAGTAAAGAATAAATAATGAAGAAGAAGATATGTGGATACCAAAAAATAATATATGTTTCTCATTGAATATCTCGAGGATACTTTCAGGGAATTCCAAAGCATGAATGTGCTTTTTCTTTACTTTTAAACCAATCGCTCGGCAGTTGGCATGGAGCTCCTTTCAAACTCAAGGGATCTTTCTCCAGAGAGAGAGAGAGAGAGAGAGAGAGAGAGAGAGAGAGAGGAGAGAGAGAGAGAGAGAGAGAAGTTTTGTGTGTGTGAGGAATAGTAAGGTTGTGAATATGTGTGAGATATAGAGAAGTGAGTATAAAAGATGGAGAGAGGCTAAGAGAGGGAGAGACAGTTGATAGAATGTATTTGTGTGTGTCTGTGATGTGACTGTGACTGTGACTGTGGAAGAGAGACTGTATCTTCTTTTTTGTATGTGTGTGTGACTGTGGGAGAGAGACTGTATCTTCTTCTTTTGTGTGTGTGTGTGTGACATAGCAAGAGAGAGAGGCAGATAAAAGAGAGAGTCGAGTGTATGCAGGTATGTGTGTTAAAGAGAGAGACATTCTTTTTCCTAGAGTGTGTGTGTGTGAGATATTCTTTTTAGTTGATGTATGTGTGTGTGTTTGTGTATGTCTGCATGCGTGTGTGTGAGAGAGGCTTTCTTTTTCTTTTTTTTCTTGTGTTTGTGTGTGTGAGAGAGAGAGATATATAAAGAGAGGGAGAATATATTTTTTTCTTTTGTATGTGTGTGTATGTTTGAGTGAGTGTGTGTGTGTGTGAGAGAGAGAGCAAACCTTTTAGGATGAGTCCACCAATGCCCTGTGTTAAACACCAGAACCCCTGCATCCTTCCACTCCCCTGTATTCTCATCCACCATATCCAAACTCAAACTCTCATTCTCCCCATTCCTCCCCTCAAACCTCACCAGAAAAGGAGACCATGAAATCTCAATTGAAACACCAAAATCCCCATAAAAAACACCAGGCCCTCTCCTCCCCTTTCTCCCTCGCTCCCAACTCCCATTCCCAACCATACAAAGCATCGACTCCCACTGATTTTTAGAGAGAGAATCACCCACAAAAACCATTCTTTTCCCTCTAATTCTCTCTAAAAGCTTCACCCCATCAAACCCCATTAACTCACACTCATCAGGCTCCCATCTCCATCTCTCATACCTCCAATCTCTTCTCCCATTTTTTTGACAGCTGAATTCAGGGTGAATATATGAGCATTCCTCGTCTCTGTAAAAGAAATACTTTTCATCATAGACCCATTTGCCTTGAAAGAGGTTGCAGGTTTGTTTTGGAGTGACAGTCTCTTTTGGGGTTTGAGTTTTAGGCCAAAAACCTTGAAGAGAGAGAGTTGGGGTGGTTTTTGGAGAGATGTTGAGGAAGATACTGGCTAAGAAGAAGGTGGATATGGTGATTATGAGACTGAGCTTTGGGTTCTCTATGGTGGGTTGCTCATGTTGGGGATTGGCCATTGTTGGGCTGTAGGCTTCAAGGAGGGTAGAGAGAGAAAGTGAGGGAGCTTCAGGGAGGGTAGAGAGAGAGAGAGAGACTGAGTGAGCATTGGGAGTGTCGATGGGTCCTAGTTTTGTTTAGTAGGTTCCATCATGGCTTTTGTTTTTTCCAGTTGGTTGTTCCTATGCTTCGCAGTCAATGGTTTTTTTCTGCAGAGAGAGAGAGAGAGAGAGAGGAGGATGAGAGAGGAGGATGTGTTAGTAGAGAGAGAGAGAGAGAGAGAGAGAGGAGGTTTGTTTAGTAGTAGTGTCGTTGTTACTTACTTACGTAGGTAGGTAGTGTGT